CTCTTTCACGTCACCACATGTTGGTTAAACCCATCTTCAAACTGTAGATCTAAAGGGGAGGGAACAAGGAAATATGTGTGCAGAGAGGTGCTTGCTGTGTTTGAGAGCAGGAGGAAGAGGGAGGGGTTATCAATCTGTGGTTCATTCCAGAAGAGGAGCAGCGCTGTGAATGTGAACTCTGATTCCTCATTTAGTCTCAGTTAAAAGCTGCTCCACATTGGAAAACAGTTCAGATTTTAGTTTTAGGGCAAGAGGAGGGGTCGGGATTATGAACACAAGCATTCATCCACTGTCAGTCTCAACTTCCCCCATCACATTTTGACCACCAAAAATAAAGTTAGAGATGTTTCATTATTAATATTATTTAGTCATTTTTATTCAGTGTATATAATCAAAATATTTAAAAATAAAATAAGGATAGCAAAAACCTTAAGTATTCAACCAGCTATGACTGATTCAGGCCTGAAACTCTTTATGCTCTTTGCTTTACACTTTCTGCATTTGTTAAAATTTTGTATTTCCCCAGATTTTTAAAACTGTTTTTCAAAATTCTTTTATTCTTATTATTATTATACAATACAATAGGTCTTCCATCTTGTCTTGCTTTCCTCGTTTTTATCTGATATTAATATTATTATACTGCAGGTTTCATGTTTCATCTCATTTAATATTAATTATGACAGTCAATGCCAGTTTTTATGTTTCTATGTATTTTTCATGTGAAACACTCGGTGTAATTATTTTGATATAAAGCTGTTGAAGGGCAGTAATCATTAACAGCTAGCCTCTTTAATCTGGCTGCTTTTGCTCAGCAGCAAACTGCAGACAGACACAGTTACAGACTAGCTGGTGAACATATAGTGGAGCATTTAGAGTTAGATACTTCCTTCAGAAGTTGGTGCAGACCAAAAAAAGAGCTAAAGGAAAGAGACTATTGGACTTATATACATCAGGTGGACACAAACACGACTCTAGTGGGTTCATTTTGTGTTCTCAATCCTCATTAAAGCAGCTTTAAGAAGGTAGCTAAAACTAAAATCCACTGAGTGGCTGCATCAAGCAAACTGGTGTACTGCATTATAGTACTGTACATGGTGACAGTCAGGTTGTCACATAAGAGAAATAATCAAAGAATCCGACACAGTCTCCACTGATTGTTCCCTTTTAATAACGTTATAATGAAAAATGAAGCCTGTGAGTGGATGAATGACGCTGTCTCACACAAACAAAGGGAGGTGTCCTTCCACTGCACTGTTATAAATGAGATAAATGAGAACTTAACACAGTGCTACAAGCTGAAGACAAAGCTCCCATTTCCATCCTGTAATTCCACTGGAACTCAATAAATAAACTCAAACCACTGAGTGAAAGAAACCACCATCAATAATTCATTCATAATGACATTTCATTTTGGTTTAAAATAAAATAAAAACATTCAGAATTAGAGTCAACAAAATCCCTCCAACAAAGAAAACTGATTTTCTAAATAAAAATACACACAGTACCTTTTATTTTTTAACAGAGCGACACTGTCAGTGGCCCTGAGGCACATTACAGCCAACTGTTGAACTGTTTATTAATGTAATGTAGGAAAACAAGCTCAGTCAAACTCCTCTGTTAAAGTTAAATTAACAAAAACTACATTAAACTCTATTAGATTTTGCCTAAATTGAGTTTAATTTAAAAAGATCAGCTCTTTTCAAAGTACCTAAACCAATAATTTATCTTAGCCTTTATCGTTACAACTAAAGTGCATTGTGTGTATTGTGTCCAATAACAGTTGAGCACGCCTCGGTCAACTTCCTCCCTTCCTGTGCTTAGATATGCTACGTGCTAGGCTAATCTGTGTTGAAAAGACGACCACATTTTGAAGATGGTTAAAAGATAAAAGTGAAATCTTTACGTTCCCATGTGTCTGTGCTGAGCCCGGTTCTGTCGCCTGCTAACGGCGGATACAGTTAGCAGTTAATTAGCAGTACCATTAATAATACCCGAAAATACCTAAAACATGACTTTGTCGTCACTGTTGGGTCAGAAACTAGATATTATTATATATACTAGATATAACTTAAGCTGTGACTCAACTGTTATTGGACTAAAGAAAGGTCAGTGACAGAATTCCTTTATGTCCACTGTCAATAAGTTTATTTGAACATTTGTTCATATTATGATGGATTATAGCTGGTTTCCAGAGTAAGGGATAAACAGAGGACTTATGTGGCTATGAATGACGAGTGAACACGTCGGGAGACAACAAACAAATAAGTCAACGTTTCAAATATTAAAAGATGTTCTGTTTAAATGAGCGATCGCGTCAATGAAACACCAGATTATGTTGAAAATCAATCATTTTTTAAGGAGAATATTAAAATACAAGCATATTCCCAACCATTAAAACACAACAGTTAAAATTAAACATCTTCCAAACTTTCATGAAGACTTTGTCCGAACCCTGTAACCATAATATAAGGGGTGAAAAAGGCCACAAAGGCGGAGAGGCAGACGTACGGTCAGCAGGTAATGAAGCGGTGTTGGGTAATGGCAGAGTGAACTGGGCCTTAAAAAACATCATAATCTGTCTGAAAAATCCCTTTAAATTTTTATCTTAATCATTTTTTAATGATCAGTGTCTTGTTGTGGAGATTGTCCATGTGTCCTCCTTCTGTGAGGGAGCTACCTAACATCTGCTTTTAAATTCTGTTGCGGAAGAAGGCAAAAGGTTAATATTGTAACTTTGGGCAGCAATGGCGTCTACCGTTGGCGTTATTCTCTGCAGGCCTTACCTAACTTTACCGTCCTGCCCTCATCCACTGACATGACATCCGGTTGGCTGCCTATCGTCTGCCTGAATCCATGTGAATGCAGCACCAGGCAATAAAACTACTTGGTTAGCTTCAGGAAACGATCATGCTTTGTGTGGAAAAAAACACATTGGCTGTTCCACCCTGGGTGCAGATAGCAGGGTTGGCTGCTGACAGCTGGGTGCTAATATCATCTGCCAAACAGAAGCTAGATGGATATGAGATTGTCAGAACTTCCTCACACCTGTGTATCATTAATAGCTGTTTCTCAGCTGCAGAAAGAGACAAATACAAATACATACATCACTTTATCGTTAACAGTTACCCATTTCATGTTGTCACTGATAATAGTAAAAATAATAATGAATTTGATTAATAAAAGCACATTTGTAAAAGCCAACAGGTTGATAGAGTACACAGATCAGTATACTCAGTAACCTCAACATATTATAGCCTTCCAGTCAGTAGAATAAGTATAAATCCATGATATTTAGGAATGAAACCTGCAAAAACATTTGTATTACTTAATCACTATGGGTAAGATCATTACATTTTCATGTAGGCCTACACACAAATGCATATTTTCATCAACTCCAACCAGCTCGTCAACCCTGTTCCCCTAGAATGGAAACAGGGTCGACTAAGATACCTCACCAAACTGTTGTTTTGATCAAACTTTTACACATATGAAGAATAAAACCCATTCATGAGTGATGAAACAACACTTGAGGCTGGGAAGGTGAAAGGTGTCCCACAGACACCACTGATGGCTTTCTTTGACCAGCAGGTTCTCCGCAAGGCCAGGTCCGTTCTGGACTGTACAAACTGAGCCCGGAGGTTGAAACCTTCCCTTGGCCCTCAGTAGATTTAGAGAACCAAGGTTGAAGTGCAATAGGAGTAAAACATCCATTGTTCCTTTTGCAATTACTAATGTGCACGTGTCATTTTAAATTCTGAGTGTCTTATGTGTAATTCTAGCATCTTGCACATGGATTTCTCTACATTGTTGTTGTATTATGGTGTACTATTTATTGTTTGTACAGAAATCATTTTTGTGTTGTTCAGGATTTTATTACTTGGTTAAATAAACTGAATCACACATAAATGCAGCAGTAATATTAATCCAAACACATCAGATATAACAATAAAACACTGGCAGGAACATTTTACTGCAACACTTTTACTTTAACTACTTTATGTACTTGTTGCTTATTGCAAAGTTTTACTTAAGTAAAATACACCTTTACCTACCTTTAGTTTTAGTAAGTAAGTAAGTTCACAGTGTTGTATTGGTATTTTTACTGCATTACTGAATACTGAATACACTGTGGAAATAAATGTTGAGAAAACTCAAGGCAACTGTCTTCATTCAGTTTCACAAACTGTGAAGTTAAGAAAGAAACTAATTTACTTTTTTCTTCTTTAAAAAATACTTGAATCTTTAAAACAATCTGTCTTTCAAACAAAAAAACCAAGACGAGGTCAAATCGGCTGAATGCAGGGAGTTCATTTAGAGCTTATGTGCAATGAACACATGAATGCTTGGTGCATTGTACTGATAGTGTTTGACAAGAAGTAGTACTGCAGCATGTGGATGTATCAGCTCTGTATGTGGTAAAGAAGGTTTCACACAGCAGAGGCTCATTGGACTGAAGGGAAATATTAAAACGTGTGCAGAAGTTCTTCAGTGTAGATTGTCCTCTGTAATTCCAATAAGAAACAGCAGGTGGAGCCCCCCCAAAAAACACACACACACACACACACACACACACACACACACACACACACAACACACACACACACAATAAGTGAAATGAGCCACAAGTCCACAACTACACGATATCTGTTGTCTCATGTGTGTAAGGACTCAAACTGGACCCAATGAATTCTGATTATTTGTCCACTTTGTTCAGCCTGTGTAATAAATCCTCTTTATTGACTGAGTGCACAAACAAAATGTTGGTTGTAAAAAGCAACAAGTGATAGAAAACTCTGCTCATTTCTCTGTGACGAAGCTGTTTTAGTGAGGAAAGTTGAAAGGACAGAGACTGACTGACAAATGCTCTTCTGCTCTGAACATGAACTCTGAACTTTGTGGTGTTTCAGGAGGAAAACTGCCTCAGTTATACTCTCATATTAGTTTCACAGTTTCTCCATCAGCTTTGTATGAGACCCTGGAATGAAGACAAGAAGAAAATACTTTGTTCATGTTTGTTTATTCATGATGTAAAGCTTCAGTTTGTTCACACATCCCATCAGTAAAGTCTGTTCAATGACTCTTGTTCAATGAGTTCATGTACAGATTCACTTCATCCACACAATCAGTTTGTTGGAGCAGAATCTCAGCTATGTACAAGGAAACAATCAATCATCTGCTTATTGATTATCATCATGCTGAATACACTTTTATAATCCCTCATAGTTCCTCATTTGTACGTGGATTTGGACATCAAAAACAACAACAACAACAAACAAATAAATGTGATTAAAGATTTCTTTCCAAAGCGGTGAGAACAGAATATCTCCGATAAAGGAAGGTCTGCTGCTTTCTCTCTTAGACCCATACAGTGGAAGAGAAACAACAACATACAAATACATCATTACAAATATTCAACAAACACAAGTTTACATTTTCATGCAGAGAAATATCAGTTCAGGTAAACAACAGTCATCATGAGCAGTGATAGCCTCCATGGCTAAACAGACACAGGAAGGAGCGCCACCTAAAGACACTTCAATAATTTCTTCATCGAAGCCATCAACCTGTCTATTAGACCGGATCCCAACTAGGCTGCTTAAAGAAGTTGTTCCCTTAATTGGCACTTCTTTACTGGATATGATTAATCTTTCTTTATTATCAGGATATGTACCACAGTCCTTTAAAGTAGCTGTAATTAAACCCCTTCTTAAAAAGCCCACTCTTTAGCCAACTATAGACCGATCTCTAACCTCCCCTTCCTCTCTAAGATTCTGGAGAAAGTAGTCGCCAAAGAGTTGTGTGACTTTCTACATAACAATAGTTTATTTCAGGATTTAGAGTTCATCACAGCACAGAGACAGCTCTGGTTAAAGTTAATAATGACCTTTTGATAGCTTCAGACAATGGACTTGTCTCTGTACTGTTACGACCCGGCTCAATTTGGAGAGCAGTAACATACAATTGGAATTGGAAAAGAGATGGAATACAACAATTGACAGGTTCAGGTTAAAATCAGGTGTTTTAATTAACTAAGGAGAGTGTGCTTGCACAATGAAATATAACAAAAGAGAGGCTATACAGGTGCTGACAAATAACTAGTACACAAAATGAAAATGACTGGATAACATTAAAGAACAAAAAGAGATCAGCACCCATAAGCTTACAAACTAGTGAACCAAAAACCAAACCAGCAATTATTGAGCAACTTAAAAGGTCACAAAAGATTACAAAGGCACTGGCTGAATCCACTCAGATAACAGCCAGGCAATACTAGAAAGTACAGACACTCTAAACTAACACAATGGTGTGCAACCAACAGCGAGGCGAACTGATCACTAGTTCACAGCCGCCCTGAACTGTGGACACACAAGCTATTTATTTAAGTGCAGCTGGGGTTGATTGAAGACTCCTGATTGGTAGCTTCAGTGGAATTGCAGCCACACCAATCACTGATGCCAGGGGACAGCAACCAGGAAGTAGGCGGACTCTGCTCCAGAAGGACCAATCCTCAACAGGGAATCACACATGAAACACCACAATGAATATACACTAAATGACAGCCAGCGGCGGCCGTAACAGTACTTGTATTATTAGATCTTAGTGCTGCATTTGACACCATTGACCATAATATTCTCTTACAGAGACTTGAGCATCAAATTGGCATTAAAGGAACCGCACTAAGCTGGTTTAAGTCATATTTATCAGATCGTTCGCAGTTTGTACATGTTAACGATGAATCTTCAATAAAAACTACAGTTAGTCATGGAGTTCCACAAGGTTCTGTACTTGGACCAATACTATTTACTTTATATATGCTCCCTTTAGGCAACATTATTAGGAATCACTCCATTAACTTTCACTGTTATGCAGATGATACGCAGTTATATCTATCGATCAAGCCTGATGAAATTAATCAATTATCTAAATTACAAACATGTCTTACAGACATAAAATCCTGGATAAGCTGCAATTTTCTGATGTTAAACTCAGAAAAAAACGAAATTCTTGTTCTTGGCCCCAAAAACCTCAGAGACTCACTGTCTGAAGATATAGTTACTCTAGATGGCATTACCTTGGCCTCTAGCACCACTGTCAGGAATCTTGGAGTTATCTTTATCAGGTTGCCCCAATAAGTCCATTAAAACGCTCCAATTAATTCAGAACGCTGCAGCACGAGTACTGACAGGAACTAGAAAAAGAGATCACATCTCTCCTGTACTAGCTTCTCTGCATTGGCTCCCTGTAAAATGTAGAATAGAATTTAAAATCCTCCTCCTCACCTATAAAGCTCTTCATGGTCAGGCCCCTTCATATCTTAAAGAGCTCATAGTACCCTATTACCCCTCTAGAACACTACGTTCTCTGAATGCTGGGCTACTTGTGGTTCCTATAGTCTCTAAAAGTAGAACAGGAGCCAGAGCCTTCATTTACAAAGCTCCTCTCCTGTGGAACCAGCTTCCAGTTGTGGTTCTGGAGGCAGACACCCTCACCACATTCAAGAGTAGGCTTAAGACATTCCTCTTTGATAAAGCTTATAGTTAGGCTGGATCAGGTGAGTCCTGAACCATCCCTTAGTTATGCTGCTATAGGCCTAGACTATCGGGGGATTTCCCATGGTGCACTGAGCTCCTCTCTTCCTCTCTCTTTCTGCACTCATTCATGTCCCATTAATGCATGTTACTAACTCCACTTCTTCCCCGGAGTTCTTGTGCTTTCTCATCTCGCAGGTTCTCGTCGATCCTGGTGGAGCCTCTTGCCATGGTCCTGCAAGATTGCCATTGCCAATACTCTTCTTGCTGTGCACCTGTCTGTCTGTCTGTCTGTCTGTCTGTCTCTCTCTCTCTCTTTCTGTCTCTCTCTCTCTCTCTCTCTCTCTCTCTCACCCCAACTGGTCGAGACAGACGACCACCCACCTAGAGCCGAAGGATCTGTCCTAGGTTTCTGCCTCTTAACAGGCAGTTTTTCCTTGCCACTGTCTCCAAGGTCTTGCTCATGGTGGTACTGTTGTGTCTCTGTAAATAATGTCAAAGGAGTTCGGTCTAGACCTGCTCTATTTGAAAAGTGTCCTGAGATAACTTTTGTTATGAATTGGCGCTACACAAATAAAATTGAATTGAATTGAATTGAACTTAAACATTTACACAACAACTAATGAGAAGACGTCAAAGTACCGCCCACAATGTTTGATTGACAGGTGATCTCTGTGCAGTGAAGAAATGCCACAACAATCAGCTCTCAGCAACAACGATGGAAACAAAACCATTCGAAGCAATGAAACACAGAATTTAACCCACTGTCCCTGAAATCACTTCTGTCTATTTCAGTTTACACAATTCAGCTGTGGATCCAACAGGGAAATATAACCGAAGTCCAGCATAGAGAGGCTGAGTGAATGTGGTCTGGACTCTGTGGAGGAGAGTCATGGTTTCAGAGATGCTGTAGAAGGACAGAATACCTGCACTGTGATCCAGGTACACTCCAACTCTGGAGGACCGAGGACCTGAGACAGGGGTTTCGACATTGTTGTAATAAAATTCATAACCGTTTATCAAACATTGTAAAATCCAAGATTTGTCATTGGATCCAAATTCACATTCATCTGACCCCCCTGCTCTGCGGATATTCTTGTATGCGACTGCTACACCAACTCCTCCCCCTCTCCTCTCCACCTCCCAGTAACAACGTCCAGTCAGACTCTCTCTACTCAGGACCTGCCAATATTCAGTGAATCTGTCTGGGTGACTAGAATAAGACTGTTGTTGTCTCATTAATGTTACTTTTCTGTTCCCCTCAGATAATAACAGCAGTGTGTTTGCTGTGTTTGGATCCAGTGTGAGTTCACGTGAATATTGTAAGAATCCAGCTCTGGTCTTGGGCTCTGGTTGTGGCAGTAAAACATCCACTTCAGTCACTGCCAGTGAGACGTTTGTCCATTTGTCCCTCAGAACGTCCTGTAGTTTATCTCTGAGCTCTGACACAGCCGCTGTCACATCCTCAAAGTACCTCAGAGGACGGATATTGATGCTGGATGTAGATTCACTGAGTGCTGACAGTGAGGGGTAGTTGTGTAGAAACTGGTTGTGGTCCTCTGTGTGTGAGAGCTTCTTCATCTCAGCGTCTTTCCTCTTCAGCTCAGTGATCTCCTGCTCCAGCTTCTCCTGAAGCTCTTTGACTCGACTCACTTCAGTTTCCTGCTGGGATCTGACCTGCTGCTTCACATCAGAGCTTCTTTTCTCCATGAGACGGATCAGCTGAGTGAAGATCTTCTCACTGTCCTCCACTGCTTTATCAGCAGAGCTATTGATAGCCTCCACCTGCTGTTGAAGCTCCTTCACATCTTTCTCTCTGTCCTGGATTCTCTGCTGGATGTTTTGTCGACTCACCTCGAGCTCTCTCTGCCTCTCAGTCCTTTCTGCTGCAGCTGAGACTGTGTCGTGGCCTTTATGTTCATCCACAGAGCAGAGATAACAGATACACTGCTGATCAGTACGACAGAACATCTTCATCACCTCATCATGACGAGAGCAGATGTTCTCCTGGAGCTTCTTGGAGGGGTCCACCAGCTTGTGTTTCTTTAATGGAGCCACATCATAATGAGGCTGGAGGTGTTTCTCACAGTAAGAAACCAGACAGAACAGACAGGACTTGAGGGCTTTCAGTTTTCTCCCAGTGCAGAAATCACAGGCCACATCTTCAGGTCCAGCATAGCAGAGATCAGCAGGAGCAGCTTGGAGTCCAGTCTTCTTCAGTTCCTCCACTAAATCTGCTAACAAGGTGTTTTTCATCAGGACAGGCCTCGGTGTGAAGGTCTGCCTACACTGAGGGCAGCTGGGGATTTTCTTCTCTTCCTCTCCATCCCAGAAGCTTTTAATACAGTTCATGCAGTAGCTGTGTCCACAGGGAGTAGTCACCGGATCCTTCAGTAGATCCAGACAGATCGGACAGCAGAATCTTTCTCGGTCCAGCTGAACTCCTTGCTGCGCCATTTCCCCTCTCAGTGACAGCGACTGTCTGAGTTTCACTTCCTCAGAGCTAGAACTAGTTTGAGCTCTGATCTAAACAGTATGTGTTTCTGCAGCGAATGGGGGCTGTCGGCTCTTTCACGTCACCACATGTTGGTTACACCCATCTTCAAACTGTAGATCTAAAGGGGAGGGAACAAGGAAATATGTGTGCAGAGAGGAGCTCGCTGTGTTTGAGAACAGGAGGAAGAGGGAGGGGTTATCAAGCTGTGGTTCATTCCAGGAAGGGGAGCAGTGCTGTGAATGTGAACTTTGATTCCTCGTTTATGATGAAGTCTCAGTTAAAAGCTGCTCCATGTTGGAAAACAGTTCAGATTTTAGTTTTAGGGCAAGAGGAGGGGTCGGGGTTACGAACACAAGCATTCATCCACTGTCAGTCTCAACTTCCCCCATCACATTTTGACCACCAAAAATAAAGTTAGAGATGTTTTACTGTTAATATTATTTATTTTTTTCAGTGTATATATTCAAAATATGGATCACACTACTTGTTGTATTTCACCAGAAAAAAATCTAAATATATTCTCATTATTCATTAGGTCTTCCATCTTGACTTGCATTCCTCATTTTTATCCGATATTAATATTATTATACTGCAGGTTTAATGTTTCAACTCATTTTATATTGATTATGACAGTCAATGCCAGTTTTTATGTTTCTATGTATTTTTCATGTGAAACACTCGGTGTAATTTTTTTGTTGCAAATTGCTTTGAGCTGCATTTCTTGCATTAAATGTGCTATATGAACAAAGTTATTACTGTCATTATTATTATTACTGTTGTAACTGATGTTGTCTTCTCTGCACTGCCAGAAAAAGAAATTCTGGTCAAGAAATACTGAAATCTATTTGTTTGCCGTAAAAATTTAAACATATTTTATAAGAAACTGGAGTCAGTTTGTCAAATATCCCCCACGTGTTACTCTGCAAAATAGCTAAAAGCCCAATAAATGAAATAGAAAACACTGAGGAAATACAGTAACCTGAATGATATAAAGCTGTTGAAGGGCAGTAATCATTAACAGCTAGCCTCTTTAATCTGGCTGCTTTTGCTCAGCAGCAAACTGCAGACAGACACAGTTACAGACTAGCTGGCGAACATATAGTGGAGCATTTAGAGTTAGATACTTCCCTCAGAAGTTGGTGCAGACCAAAAAAAGAGCTAAAGGAAAGAGACTATTGGACTTATATACATCAGGTGGACACAAACACGACTCTAGTGGGTTCATTTTGTGTTCTTAATCATCATTAAAGCAGCTTTAAGAAGGTAGCTAAAACTAAAATCCACTGAGTGGCTGCATCAAGCAAACTGGTGTACTGCATTATAGTACTGTATGGTGACAGTCAGGTTGTCACATAAGAGAAATAATCAAAGAATCCGACACAGTCTCCACTGATTGTTCCCTTTTAATAACGTTATAATGAAAAATGAAGCCTGTGAGTGGATGAATGATGCTGTCTCACACAAACAAAGGGAGGTGTCCTTCCACTGCACTGTTATAAATGAGATAAATGAGAACTTAACACAGTGCTACAAGCTGAAGACAAAGCTCCCATTTCCATCCTGTAATTCCACTGGAACTCAATAAATAAACTCAAACCACTGAGTGAAAGAAACCACCATCAATAATTCATTCATAAGGACATTTCATTTTGGTTTAAAATAAAATAAAAACATTCAGAATTAGAGTCAACAAAATCCCTCCAACAAAGGAAAACTGATTTTCTAAATAAAAATACACACAGTACCTTTTATTTTTTAACAGAGCGACACTGTCAGTGGCCTTGAGGCACATTACAGCCAACTGTTGAACTGTTTATTAATGTAATGTAGGAAAACAAGCTCAGTCAAACTCCTCTGTTAAAGTTAAATTAACAAAAACTACATTACACTCTATTAGATTTTGCCTAAATTGAGTTTAATTTAAAAAGATCAGCTCTTTTAAAAGTACCTAAACCAATAATTTATCTTAGCCTTTATCGTTACAACTAAAGTGCATTGTGTGTATTGTGTCCAATAACAGTTGAGCACGCCTCGGTCAACTTCCTCCCTTCCTGTGCTTAGATATGCTACGTGCTAGGCTAATCTGTGTTTAAAAGACGACCACATTTTGAAGATGGTTAAAAGATAAAAGTGAAATCTTTACGTTCCCATGTGTCTGTGCTGAGCCCGGTTCTGTCGCCTGCTAACGGCGGATACAGTTAGTAGCAGTTAATTAGCAGTACCATTAATAATACCCGAAAATACCTAAAACATGACTTTGTCGTCACTGTTGGGTCAGAAACTAGATATTATTATATATACACTAGATATAACTTAAGCTGTGACTCAACTGTTATTGGACTAAAGAAAGGTCAATGACAGAATTCCTTTATGTCCACTGTCAATAAGTTTATTTGAACATTTGTTCATATTATGATGGATTATAGCTGGTTTCCAGAGTAAGGGATAAACAGAGGACTTATGTGGCTATGAATGACGAGCGAACACGTCGGGAAACAACAAACAAATACGTCAACGTTTCAAATATTAAAAGATGTTCTGTTTAAATGAGCGATCGCGTCAATGAAACACCAGATTATGTTGAAAATCAATCATTTTTTAAGGAGAATATTAAAATACAAGCATATTCCCAACCATTAAAACACAACAGTTAAAATTAAACATCTTCCAAACTTTCATGAAGACTTTGTCCGAACCCTGTAACCATATTATAAGGGGTGAAAAAGGCCACAAAGGCGGAGAGGCAGACGTACGGTCAGCAGGTAATGAAGCGGTGTTGGGTAATGGCAGAGTGAACTGGGCCTTAAAAAACATCATAATCTGTCTGAAAAATCCCTTTAAAAGTGAAAAAATTAACTGATCACAATGGAAATAAAACCAACCGTAACTGTAAAACCAACTCGTTAGTGTTTCTGGCAACTAACAGGAACAGCTCAAATCAAACACACGCAGTATTTTGGATTTAATGAGCAAAAAAATGAAACAAAAATGAGTTGTCTACTGTATCATTGAGGTGCCAGAGTGCGGTGGGAATATCATTACATTAGAACAAATTCTACAACATCCCAAAATATGGATCCATCTCAGGTGAGTTGTGAGCTGAACAGGATCCCGAAGGTTCACAATCGTCCAGAAACAAAAAGGTTTCTGAAATGTGAATCCACGGATCCTTGAAGAGGTTCCAGACGAGAAGAAAAAGGCGAATGTGTCCCGACGAGCAGTTCGCCTACATCTCGTCAGCGTGTGCAGGTTTGGCGGGATCATGGCTTCCTTTCCCCGCCGCCGAGCTCAGACGCAGCGCCAGAGGTTCAGTCTGCCCGGCGACAAGAGCTGAGCTGTTCCCCGATTGGCTCCCCTCTTGCGCCGCCCCGTCAAAGCCCGTATTTTCAGGGTTTTCTATCGGTTCCCGGAGGACGGCGGCGCCATCCGGAGGTCCCGATTGGCTGAGCTCAGAGGGCGGGGACGCAGAGTCGGACTGGACAGCTGGACTGTCCGCATCGTCTGCTGCGGTCTGGGTGGAGGAGGAGGGGTCCGTCAGGATGTTTCTAGAGATAACTAGAACGACAGAGGAATATATTGGTGTTACTTTAAGTATCTGTTGTATCAAACGTACCACAACACATCACATGACCATCCACTACCAGCCAATGTGACGCCATCTTCCCTCAAAAGTCTCCGTGATGTTTTACAGCTTCAGCAACCATCAATCACTCTGAATGTTATCACATCCTCAGTTATATTCTTCCTCTATTTAACAATTTCTGCCAAAACAAATTCACAAAAACTCAATTTCTTTGTATTCTTGTATCAAAAATCCAATTATTTTGTCTTCCTGTAAAACAAAATGTGACATCTTATCTTCAGGAAGGTTCATTAGAGATTACAGCATGGTACTGATTACTGTACAATAATAATAATAAAAATAATAATACTGGATCATATCTTATGGAGAGAATATTGTCTGTTGTTGTGTTTCCCGAATGGTTTACGATGCTACATGGCCTCCAGCCACCGTGCCACAAACCTCCTGTGGGTCTGTAGTCGTCGTCTGCAGACGAGTTGCGGCTGAACGGACTGAAACTCGGCATGATGATCAGACCCAGAGAGACCAGGATGATCTGAGGACAGGTGGACATGATTTGGTCATAAAACAGCAGACACATTAAACCCTTTTCCACAGATCCTTCAAGATTACACAAACAAAGTCACACGATTCAAACCAGCATAAAACGTGGACGAGGGTTGGCCGCCCGGACGGAGACTTATTAACTTGTCTTTGACTTATATGTGTTGGAATAAATGAACTAAATGTCTCCTTGCTGGTTGTTCTGACACACTGAGAATCACATTGCCGCTGTTTCTGTTAACATTTAACTCATCGTGAGAGAATAAAAAAGGTGTTTTAAAACAGGATTTAAAAAGAGGTGCTTTAGCCTCCATCTTGACACAACAAGGAGCAATAAAAACAGAATAAAAACAGACCTCCTGCACCAAACTGTGTTCATATTTTTACTCATTTTACTATTTTAACCAACAAATGAGAAGAGGAAGCAGAATGATCTTAAAATACATGTTAATGATAGCGAACCCTAACGCACACACAGACACACACACTCTCAGACAGACATCCTGTGCGTCTCCTACCAGTAAGCAGGTGCTGGTCTGGGCTCCTTTACTGACCGTCTGTTTAATCAGAGACTGAAGCTGTCGCAGCTGAGCCAGCAGAGACCTGAACAGCAGGAACACATCGACATGCGTCAACTTTCAGCCGTAATCTGACCTCAGAAATGTCAAATAAAAGATGATGAAAGGCCTGATGGACTGACTCTGCTTCTTCCTGTTTTTCCTGTTTGTTAATAACTCAGAACATCTACGTGGGTCCGCTGAAACTACAATGGTAGCTCGGTTCAACTGCTGCCCCAAGGAATTGTGGGACGGGATTATCTCCTTTCCTTTGGGAGACGATGGTCCAGAGTCTCCTACAGCAGGCTGAAGATCAGAAAGGAAGCACTGGAGCAGGAAGAAGACGACAGAAAGAAGAAAGAAAGAAGACTGACAGAAGACGATAGAAAGACGACAGAAAGAAATGGCAGAAAGAAGACGACAGAAAGAAGAAAGAAAGAAGACGACAGAAAGAAGACAGAAAGAAGACAGAAAAGACGACAGAAAGAAAACAGAAAGAAGACAGAAAGAAGAAAGAAAGAAGACAGAAAGACGACAGAAAGAAGACAGAAAGAAGACGACAGAAAGAAAACAGAAAGACGACAGAAAGAAAACAGAAAGAAGACGACAGAAAGAAGAAAGAAAGAAGACAGAAAGACGACAGAAAGAAGACAGAAAGAAGACGACAGAAAGAAGACAGAATGAAGACGACAGAAAGAAGACAGAAAGAAGACGACAGAAAGAAGACAGAAAGAAGACGACAGAAAGACGACAGAAAGAAGACGACAACAACCTCTGCTGTCTGTCTCAAACTCTACTGCAGCACTGAACTGTATTTCTGATGTTTCTGACTCACCTGGACACTTTCCTATAAATGAACCCTGAAGCTCTTTTAGCACTGAATAACTGTGACTCATCGCTTCCTCTATGATCGTATCGATCAGTGAACAGTCAATCAATCGATCGATAATCAACGTGGCCGTACATGTTGCGTTTCTCCAGCTGCTCCACTGTCCTCTGCAGCTCCTTGTTCTGTGCTGAGCAAGCTGCAGCCCTGCAGCCAATAAAGACACAATGCACCACAAATATGAACAAACATCATGTTTACAGCATTACACGTGAATTACAGAGCATATATTAGCACCACATTAGGACACTGTAGGAGTCAATATATACATGTATCATATACAGTGGCTGTTTGTGTGTGTGTGTGTGTGGAAGGTGGAGATGGTCCTATTGAGCTTCATCCTCTACAGTGTATCTGAATTAAACAGAAGAGGATCCTCAGTCCTCTGCGCTACTGTGCTCGGTTTTATCAATCCTACACCGACCAGTGGTGCCTTCTTGATTGTACGGCGTGCTAGGAAACTTTAAAGTGATACACAGTAGGCCGATACCTCAGCGTATTGTTCACTTCTCTGAAGATAAGTAAATGTAAACTGTCTAATAGAACAATGGCCGAGCGTCAGAGACAACAAGACACTGAATTTGCCAAAAAAGAAGCTTATTAAGTCATAAAAATCCAGAATACAGACAGAGAATTGTATAAAAAGTTCCCTAAACAGGAAATAATCTGCTCAGAATTCATCCAAATCTCAGATTTTACACAAACTTACTTAACCTGCAGTTACTGAGTTCACTGTTTGGGTTCATTGGACAGTTTTTAAGATAATATGAAAAATCCATAAAATATGTCATTAAGCGAGGGGTCGTCAGTTCACTAAATGATAGCAAGGGGTCCCTTAAGGAGAAAGGTTGGGAACCAGTGGGTTAGACGATGTCAAACCGTCTGTTTCATAAAGACATGAACAGGTTTTCCTTCTGTTCGGAGCCCCGTTACAGACGGGAAGACTCTGCTGCAATCACATCTAAAGGGTGTACATTTCATTCTTATAGTAGTTATTAAGGCCCCCCACCCCACCGAGAAGAGTCTTAGTCGATGCATACTGAGAAACTGAAAGGTCTTCTGCAAACTAACGGTAGAAAACCAATTTACAATCATATCAGATCAAGATATTTTACACTTTGAGAACCCATACCGGCTGCGTTTCTGCTTTAAAAACAACAAAATCAGTTGATCGATCGGTTGATTATCGACATTCTAGCTGCCAGTCGGTCATGCAGGGACCCCGCTTCAACAAACGTGGGACGTCCGACTACAACATCTCATTCAGAGAGTCAGACAGGTGCATTGGTGTACCTGCTCTCCAGCCCGTCGATGTACTCCTTCCTCCTCCGCCGGCTGTCCTGAGCCGACTGCTTGTTGCGGATCTTTCTCCGAACTCTCTTCAGGATTCTTTCCTCAGCCTGCAAACAAAGCCTCATTCAGAATCACTCATCGTCTCCACGCTCAAAATAAAAACCTGGAACCGTTCGGGGCTGTTTCTAGCATCCTGGGGGCCCCGCTTTTGTGACATGATGGAGTTTATGATTCCTCTAACGTAGTCTGGGGACATTTAACATTTCAATACATCAATCAGCTGCACTTTAATGCTGCGTTCCCACCAAACACCAATAAAGTTATTGACGCAGGTAGATTACATAAATAGCCAGTGCGAGGACGGAAACAGACGCGAACTGGGCGACGTGAATGGTGCAAACTTTGAGCAAAGATGTGCACACATCTGGAGCTTCTGGAGGAATAAACAGCCATAGTCACAACAGATTCTGCTCCGGAGACGTTCACCAGCAAGAGGAGAGTTTAGTTTTTAAACTTTTGGGATTAAAAAGTGGAAAAGTGGTTCACACAGAGCTCTATGGTTCTCCTTCACGTTTACACAGAGACCAGAAAAGGAAGAGAGGACGTTGGAGAATATGTGTCTGTTACTTGATGCTGTCGGTTTTACTTTACTATGAACTCTGTTAGCATAGCCCCGATCAACCAAACTCCATTCAGAAAACAAGCATTTTAAGAGTCGTTTGCTTGTCGTCTTGTGAATTCAGACTTTTTACAAACCGTCATTGTGATGTTGTTATTTCAGCGTCATTTTGATCCGTTTATTGACATTAAATCACAGCTGAATCGGTTTATTTTGGGCTCATACCACCGTTGTAAGGCAGATTGACGGACGGACATAAGGAATAGAGGACAGATCTGTGAAAACCTCTCAGGGTTTTTTATTTTCTCGAATTGTCCCCAGAAATTCAAACATAGAGAAAATGCTAATAAATACATCAAAAAACTCCTGAAGACTTTCAGGATTTACAGAATCTGAACTATAACATCCGTCAAACGCCCATAAATGAGACAGATGCTGCATTTTCCTTTGTTTACTGTGGTTGTCATGAAAACCACGTTAGAGCAGAGTTACGGCTGAATTTATGCTGAAAACAACAACACCACATGTTTGTGATAAGGAGGTAAATACATATGAAACATAATCATTAACACAAACATGCATTAAACACCTTTAATCAGTCGTATTCGCTGATGAATGCAGGAGTTTGGAATATGAACACACAAGCATCAACGTACAGCTTGTTTGGAATATAATGGTGGCTTCAGGGGGCCAACATGCAACCACATAACTGTCCAATAACAGCCCCAAGTTGGTAGAAAAGATCAGTCGCTCATTGTGCTGAGAAAACTCCTAAAAGCGAACGTTTCAGGGACAACTGTTGAGCTGACCTTGGTGAGGGGGAGGTTGTTGGGCAGAGAAACTCCTTCCTGGCTCAGCAGCTTCTGTTCCTCCTCGGTCAGCTGGAGATCTGAGTACAGCTGCAACAGCAGAGGAAGAGTCAGTGCGCACACACACACACACACACACACACACACACACACAGAAAGAAGCCTCACCAGATCACCGTCAGGGCTCGGAGGGTCGATGAGGGTCAAACTGCCGTCGAGGCGAGCTGCAGGGAGCACGGGCAGCTCGTTCACAATGCACGAGTCTGAAAACAACATCTGAGAGCTCCATTGATCTGTACAGGACAGAAAATGACATCATGGTCACATTATTATGGATGATATTGATCAGTATACACTGTATCTTTATGGATGATATTGATCAGTATACACTGTATCTTTATGGATGATATTGATCCTGTATTGACAGTCAGACTGTGGACATATGACGGCCTTTAGCTCGTGTTTCTAGAGTTACGTGTTGTTACGAACACGTTAGGAATTGTTAAAATGTGATATTTCTTAAAGGGAGTTTGGTGCAGGGAGCTTTTAGTTGGATTCAAACTGTTGATATGGATCATTGTTAACGTTTAGTCTCCACTACAGAAACACTAGCTAACTGCTAAAGTCTGACTATATTAGTTTGATTAATGCTTTAATAATCTGTGTATTGATTACTGACACTGGCTGATCAGGATCATTATGTTTTTAAACGTGATGTGCTCGTTATTAACGGTGTTATTAAGTGACTCCTGATGAAACGTAGTGCGGAGACCAGTCAGACTCCTGGTGAAAGATCTCGCAGTCTGTTGCTGATCAGTCATGTAGTGTGAACAGTACAGAGATCTCGTGACTTTGAAAGTCTTGGTGCGATTGCAGCTTCCTGGAGGGAAACAGAAACCATCACACCCTCGCCCTCACCGAGCTCTATGGAGATGACGTTCTCCTGTCCAGGTTCAGTCTTCACGCCGCCCAGGCTGCTGATGTCATAAACCACCTGGTAGACGGTCGCTGGGGCTGGCTGGGGGGTCGCAGTCGTCACCATGGCGACGGGACTCTCGAGTACAGGATCCTCAGAGATGCCGCTGTCGCTCTCAGACGAAGGCTCTGCAGGCGGCCCGCTGGGAAACACCTCGTTGGGGTCGACACCGTGGAGGACGTCCTCCGGCTCGCTGTCATTCAGCGTCTGAGACACAGACACAGGGTCGACCGATTTAACAACCCGCATCGACGTGACCTCACCTGTATTATCCACTGCACGCATGCTGGAGCGCAGACTCACACAGTCGGGGTCTACCGCCCAGTCCTGCAGGGGTTTCTCTGAGCCGCTGAAGACGAGGTCGGAGAACGGAGCGTCGAGCTGCCAGCTGTCTGCCGCCACGCCGCCGCCCAGAAACAGCTCGCCACTCTCTGCGTCCATGACCTGAAAAGATAAAAACATTTACACAATGACCCTGCTCACCAGACCAGATGTAGATATTGTACTTTTAACTCCACATTCAACTGACAGCTTTAGTTACTTCACAATTCAACTTTTTGCACCCAAAACATATGAAGAGTTAAATTAAACTACCCAACAGTTTATCAGTCCTTCCAGAAAAATGCGAGTTTTTTTGTGATTGTTGCGGGCAAAAATCCTTGATTATGCGGCACGTTTTCTTAAAAAATTAGATGGAATATGTGAAATATTTATGCAATTTTATGCAATGAAATTGCGGGAACTTGCAAAAACTGCAGTTTGATGAAAAAGAGAAAAAAAAGTGATTCCCCCAACACCCTGTTCTCACTAGGCTACTACCTTAATGTAAAGACTCATTTCTTATTACTTCCTATGATAAGCAAACATACTACATCACAGAAAGTGCTGGGAATATTTAAGTTCTCATCTTGTTTTATTTCAGACCTTAATAAACACATGGCTCAAACCTACAAAACATTGATGAGTCAAATGAGGTCTGTAGCTTTACAAAAGGAATATTCTACAACTTCTGTAAAAATGAATAAATAAAATATAACAAAACTGCGAAAGTGCGACGTATTTGAAAAAATGCGGCCCCCGCATAAATATGCGGACTTTGGCTGATTATGTATTGAATTATGGGATTGCATAATCGTGTTTTTCTGGAGGGACTGGTTTAGTACAGCAACGGTTAGTCGATTAAAGTTCACAGTCTGAAGTCTGACAGAAATCTAGTCCTGATTAAAAAAACGTACTTTAATGTAGAATATTTCATTTCTGCCTAGAAGGTCTCTCACATCACAACAATAAGAAAAGACGTTTGGTGGTGATTCTTTAAGGGAGTCTGGTGATAATGTGGTTACTAGTTCAGTGTAATACATTTCAGTCTGGAAGATCAAAACGTTTGTCAGCGTTTGACTATGATGTATTTGGATTACTGCTAAAATATGAAGTGTTTAACAAACTAAAGTGTTTTCCAATGAGGAGCAGCTTTTAACTGAGGATTCATCATAAAAGAGGAATCAAAGTTCACATTCACAGCACTGCTCCTCTTCCTGGAATGAACCACAGCTTGATAACCCCTCCCTCTTCCTCCTGCTCTCAAACACAGCACCTCCTCTCTGCACACATATTTCCTTGTTCCCTCCCCTTTAGATCTACAGTTTGAAGATGGGTGTAACCAACATGTGGTGACGTGAAAGAGCCGACAGCCCCCTCAGAGCTCTGAGGAAGTGAAACTCAGACAGTAGCTGTCACTGAGAGGGAAAATGGCGCAGCAAGGAGTTCAGCTGGACCGAGAAAGATTCTGCTGTCCGATCTGTCTGGATCTACTGAAGGATCCGGTGACTACTCCCTGTGGACACAGCTACTGCATGAACTGTATTAAAAGCTTCTGGGATGAAGAGGATGAGAAGAAAATCCACAGCTGCCCTCAGTGTAGGCAGACCTTCACACCGAGGCCTGTCCTGATGAAAAACACCATGTTAGCAGATTTAGTGGAGGAACTGAAGAAGACTGGACTCCAAGCTGCTCCTGCTGATCACTGCTATTCTGGACCTGAAGATGTGGCCTGTGATTTCTGCACTGGGAGAAAACTGAAAGCCCTCAAGTCCTGTCTGGTCTGTCTGGTTTCTTACTGTGAGAAACACCTCCAGCCTCATTATGATGTGGCTCCCTTTAAGAAACACAAGCTGGTGGACCCCTCCAAGAAGCTCCAGGAGAACATCTGCTCTCGTCATGATGAGGTGATGAAGATCTTCTGTCGTACTGATCAGCAGTCTATCTGTTATCTCTGCTCTATGGATGAACATAAAGGCCACGACACAGTCTCAGCTGCAGCAGAAAGGACTGAGAGGCAGAGAGAGCTCGAGGTGAGTCGACAAAACATCCAGCAGAGAATCCAGGACAGAGAGAAAGATGTGAAGGAGCTTCAACGGGAGGTGGAGGCTATCAATCGCTCTGCTGATAAAGCAGTGGAGGACAGTGAGAAGATCTTCACTCAGCTGATCCGTCTCATGGAGAAAAGAAGCTCTGATGTGAAGCAGCAGGTCAGATCCCAGCAGGAAACTGAAGTGAGTCGAGTCAAAGAGCTTCAGGAGAAGCTGGAGCAGGAGATCACTGAGCTGAAGAGGAAAGACGCTGAGATGAAGAAGCTGTCACACACAGAGGACCACACCCAGTTTCTACACAACTACCCCTCACTGTCAGCACTCAGTGAATCTACATCCAGCATCAATATCCGTCCTCTGAGGTACTTTGAGGATGTGACAGCGGCTGTGTCAGTGCTCAGAGATAAACTACAGGACGTTCTGAGGGACAAATGGACAAACGTCTCACTGACAGTGACTGAAGTGGATGTTTTACTGTCACAACCAGAGCCCAAGACCAGAGCTGGATTCTTACAATATTCACGTGAACTCACACTGGATCCAAACACAGCATACACACGGCTGTTATTATCTGATGGGAACAGAAAAGTAACATTAATGAGTCAACAACAGTCTTATTCTAGTCACCCAGACAGATTCACTGTATATAGTCAGGTCCTGAGTAGAGAGAGTCTGACTGGACGTTGTTACTGGGAGGTGGAGTGGAGAGGGGGAGGAGTTGATGTAGCAGTCGCATACAAGAATATCAGCAGAGCAGGGGGGTCAAAGGAATGTAGATTTGGATTCAATGACAAATCTTGGATGTTACAATGTTTCACAAACAGTTATAACTTTTCTTACAACAATGTCCAAACTCCTGTCTCAGGTCCTCAGTCCTCCAGAGTTGGAGTGTACCTGGATCACAGTGCAGGTATTCTGTCCTTCTACAGCGTCTCTGAAACCATGACTCTCCTCCACAGAGTCCAGACCACATTCACTCAGCCTCTCTATACTGGATTTTGTTCTCTCTCCCTTATGGAGCCACAGCTGAGTTGTGTAAACTGAAATAGACAGAAGTGATTTCAGGGACAGTGGGTTAAATTCTGTGTTTCATTTCTTCAAATGGTTTTGTTTCCATCGTTGTTGCTGAGAGCTGATTGTTGTGGCATTTCTTCACTGCACAGAGATCACCTGTCAATCAAACATTGTGGGCGGTACTTTGACATCTTCTCATTAGTTGTTCTGTAAATGTTTGAGTGTCTTTAGGTGGCGCTCCTTCCTGTGTCTGTTTAGCCATGGAGGCTATCACTGCTCATGATGACTGTTGTTTACCTGAACTGATATTTCTCTGCATGAAAATGTAAACTTGTGTTTGTTGAATATTTGTAATGATGTATTTGTATGTTGTTGTTTCTCTTCCACTGTATGGGTCTAAGAGAGAAAGCAGCAGACCTTCCTTTATCGGAGATATTCTGTTCTCACCGCTTTGGAAAGAAATCTATAATCACATTTGTTTGTTTGTTGTTGTTGTTGTTGTCCAAATCCACGTACAAATGAGGAACTATGAGGGATTATAAAAGTGTATTCAGCATGATGATAATCAATAAGCAGATGATTGATTATTTCCTTGTACATAGCTGAGATTCTGCTCCAACAAACTGATTGTGTGGATGAAGTGAATCTGTACATGAACTCATTGAACAAGAGTCATTGAACAGACTTTACTGATGGGATGTGTGAACAAACTGAAGCTTTACATCATGAATAAACAAACATGAACAAAGTATTTTCTTCTTGTCTTCATTCCAGGGTCTCATACAAAGCTGATGGAGAAACTGTGAAACTAATATGAGAGTATAACTGAGGCAGTTTTCCTCCTGAAACACCACAAAGTTCAGAGTTCATGTTCAGAGCAGAAGAGCATTTGTCAGTCAGTCTCTGTCCTTTCAACTTTCCTCACTAAAACAGCTTCGTCACAGAGAAATGAGCAGAGTTTTCTATCACTCGTTGCTTTTTACAACCAACATTTTGTTTGTGCACTCAGTCAATAAAGAGGATTTATTACACAGGCTGAACAAAGTGGACAAATAATCAGAATTCATTGGGTCCAGTTTGAGTCCTGACACACATGAGACAACAGATATTGTGTAGTTGTGGACTTGTGCTCATTTCACTTATTGTGTGTGTGTGTGTGTGTGTGTGTGTGTGTGTGTGTGTGTGTGTGTGTGTGTGTGTGGCTCCACCTGCTGTTTCTTATTGGAATTACAGAGGACAATCTACACTGAAGAACTTCTGCACACGTTTAATATTTCCCTTCAGTCCAATGAGCCTGTTTCTGACTTTTTACAGAGCAAACAATCAGCAGATGAATCCATAACGGGAATAATCGTTGTTAAAGTTGGAGAATGTAAATGCAAACATCAGAACAAAGAGTCTGTGTGGAGATCCTGACAAACCCGGGTGGAGCAACACTGGAGGAGGATATCCTGGTAGGTACACACCCACCCTCACACACACACACACACACACACACACACACACACACACCTGAGCTGTGACAGTTACCAGTCTGACTCAATAGAAACCTGATATGCTGCCAAACGTGTTTCCATAATTCCCTCTCCACTTTCCAAAAAACTTTCTGGTTTCACAGCAAATTAACAAAATAAAATAAATACTGTGACTGTATTCCGATCGATAATATGTCGATTGATTGTGCAGCCCTACTGCGAGGCCTTCAGGAGCTCCAGGAGCAAAACTTTGGGGTTAAAACGAGACCCTGGTGCTCTGAATCTCTCGTCCCCTCTCAACTGTCGGCTGTCTGATAAAAGCTCTCCATCACAAGATCATAAATCACATAATCATGTGTGTATATATTGGTGGTCAGTAACAGTAACGTCAGTACAGACGTATAAAACATATGTCTCAGGTCATTTAGAAAGGATAATGACCTAATTCTCATATTGGATATCAGACTGACGTCACCGATCCATGACCGGCCGATACCGATTTTTTTTTGTTGTTATATTTTCGGGGATTTTGTTTCAGGGAAACAAGGCAAAAAGGGAGGAGATTATTTCTCTACTATCTGAGTTGGAAACAACAAATAATGAGGCGAATATCCGATGTTCAGCTAAATCGGCATGTTGTCTTCACCACCATTGGCGTCATTGCAGTCAGCTTCTCCCGGTTAGGATTCCTTCAGTTTTTGGGTTCAGGGGGTTTCCCCCGGGCGCACAACAAAAAAAAGACCCCTCCTCCTCTCCAAAAAAAAAAAACCCCCTAAAAAAAAAAAAAAAAAAAAAAAAAAAAAAAAATAGCGTCCGCCACGCTGTTGCAGTCAGGGAGCTGCTGCTAACGTTAGCTCAGCTTGTTTCTCTGATAACTTAAGATCCAGACGTCCGATGACTAAAATCCTTCATCCGGTTCAAATCTAGAGTTAAAAAGCACCAAGATCTAAACAGTGGATGGTAACAATGTGGCTTCAGACTGGATCAACAGTCAATGTATGACAGCTTCTGGCAGACAACCACAACGCTGACGCAGGCACAAAGGGGATATGACGCCATCGACAGGCGACCGGTGAAACGCAGCGTTACCTGAATAAGTTTGAACGTTGTTGGAAACATTTGGGATAATGTAAGAACTCAACTACATAGAGAACATAAAGTTTATAGACTGTTTAATGAGGAAATGTTACGTACTTTAAGTTACTTTGAAAGCTCACCACCCGTTTCCAAAATACTCCACTACAAGTAAAAGTCCTGCATTTAAACCTTATTAATAAATAAAAATAATATATATATATAAATATATATGTATATCCCACTGGAGCTTTAACGTGCTCTGTAAGTGTAAAGAAAATGTACATAAAGTATCAAAAGTACTCACTAAGCATTGTAAGAATATTATATATTAAACTATAAGAGTAATATTGATGCAGTAAAAATGTAAAATGCATTTTAATTTTAGATTTCTTTATACTGTTGATTTAATTTAATGTATATTTCATTATTACAGGTTTTCACTAAAAGTAGAAAGTAACGTTAAGAGTAATTAAGCACACTACTTGAGTAAATGTACTTAGTTACTTAGTAGTTTTTCTGCTCCAGGCCCGTGAAGCTGTTTATAACGTGTAAACAGATTAATAAACTGTTTATTAAAGGACCAAAAACTGAGAAACAACCTGTTTTTGTTTCGAAAATAAAAAACATAAAACAAAAACAAGTTGTTTTACAGTTTAAAAATAAAAAAACAACAATTTTCCCTCTTTTGTTTGTTTGTTTTGAAACTAAAAACTGAACTCAATAACGACTCTTTTTGTCCTCCATACTCATATAAATGGTTACAGAGCAGAACTCCGTTAACGAACATTCATTAATGTGAGTTGTGTGTCAGAGTTCGGGCCAGAGTTCGGGCCTGATCCCGGTCCAACCGGATCAACGGGACATTTAACACTCACCGCTTCTCTTTCTTCCGGGTTCACACTCTCCGGTTCTTCATCACCGAGCGGCCCCGTCCGCGGCTGCAGGAGGACCGGGGACGCAAACAGCCACAGCACGCTGCTTTTAATCCGGTTCTCGGTAGATGAAGAGTCCAGCTGGAGGCTCCGCGTCCAGGTCCAGGTCCTGGTCCAGGATGGAGTCCGAGTCCGCTTCCTCCGCCTCCTCCGCTGCTGCTTCTTCTACGGTTCACCGGCGGGCTGCAGGCCGACCGTAGAGCGTGTGTGTGTGTGTGTGTGCGTGTGTGTGTGTGTCGCCCCCTAGTGTACCGGAGGGGGACAGCATGACTTTAATATGGAATTACTTATCACTTATTTAATATTTAACAACATTAATAATAATAACATTAATAATGATAACATTATTAATAATAATAACATTAATAATTACAATAATAACAATATTATTATTCATACTAATTAATAACAATAATATAACATTATTAATAATAATAATAATAATAATAACATTATTATTAATAATAATAACAATATTATTATTCATACTAATTAATTACAATAATATAACATTATTAATAATAATAATAATAATAACAATATTATTATTCATACTAATTAATAACAATAATATAACATTATTAATAATAACAATAATAATAACATTATTATTAATAATAATAACAATATTATTATTCATACTAATTAATAACAATAATATAACATTATTAATAATAACAATAATAATAACATTATTAATAATAATAATAACAATATTATTATTCATACTAATTAATAACAATAATATAACATTATTAATAATAACAATAATAATAACATTATTAATAATAATAATAACAATATTATTATTCATACTAATTAATAACAATAATATAACATTATTAATAATAACAATAATAATAACATTATTAATAATAATAATAACAATATTATTATTCATACTCATTAATAACAATAATATAACATTATTAGTAATAACAATAATAATAACATCAATAATAATAATAATAATAAAAAGTACGCAGTTATAACAACCAAAGTGCTGGAAGCAGCGTCAGGGACAAGAAAACACAGAATTTTCTGAAACAGAAGCCTATTAAGTATTATATTATGTATGATTGTTAAAACAATTATAAAAATGCACAACACAGACAGAGAATTGTATAAAAAGTTCCTAAAAATATCAGGAAAACTCGTCTCTGATTAATATTCAGGGAAAGTAATCTGCTCAAAGTGAATCCAAACTGCACATTTCACACAAACGTCCTGCAGTTACTGTTACTGTTCGTTCACCGTTCACAGTTGATCACTTGTTCTGTGCTGTTACTGTTACACATTGAATATAATATGAAATATCCATAAAATATGTAACTCGTCAGTTCACTCAGAGGACGTTAGGTGGCGGGAACCGAGATTAAACACATTTCTGGAGGCAATGAGACAAAATACAGAACTAAAATCATCAGAATCAGAATCAGAAGTTGTTTTAACAAATAATGTATAAATAAAGATAAAAATAGAGACAATATACACAAATATAAAAAGATAACCATTATATAAAAAGGTAAAGTTATTTTAAATGGTTAAACATCTCAAAATAATATTTGAGAATGACTAAATAATCATATAATAATACACATTTAATCAGAAAACTGCTGTCTAAAAACTGTGAGTGTAGTTCCTGCTGTTGGCCTCTGGGGGGCAGTGGACATACAGTGATATTTATAATGTGCCACATATAAACCAGAGAGTTTAAGAGCCACAGTCAGTGGCTACTAGAATAAAGAGAATAAAAAGACCTCCAGCAGTAAACAATAAATACTATAAAACAGATAAAACTCGAAACTTGATGACGTTTTCTACAATTTACTGGAACATAATGATAAACAATGGATGAACTGACAGTGTTCCTTTAGTTCAGTTTAGAGTTTTCTTTTTGTTCTTTTTCTCCACTTTTGTATAAATTGTAAACTTTATATTATTATATTGTATTTTCCTTTTTGTTTACCTCGTTTTTGTTTGTTTTTCACTTAGTTTTCTAACTGTTTGGATTATGTTTGTCTGTCACTGATATTTACCTTATTTACCTGCTGTAGGCTGAATTAAATCATAGATACACAATAATACGATACAATAATAGATCACCTCTAACGGTTCGTCCTGATTGAACACTACACTGAATACCTCCTCCACCCACTGAAGACTGTGTGTTCACAATCAGCAGCAGGGCTCCAGATGTGTGAACCTCTGTGTGGAAGGTAGATAGTCCTGATATTAACAGACGTTAGAGAAGGAAAAACAAACCACCAGAATTAACACTTTTTCTTATGATCTATTAACAGTCAGAGTAATAGCAGAGACTGGAATATAATAAAACAATATACTTTAATATGATGATCTGTTTGTTTGTCACAAACAGAATTTACGAGCCTGTCTGTGTTTTAACACAACCGTTGTTATGTTGAGGATCTTGAATGCAAAGAACGAAGGGAAACACTTTTTAAAGCACAGATATCCAAAGTGTTGTTGAGACTCTGGTAACAGCACGAAACACACAAATCTTTCTGAACGCAGCTTTTGGATGTCTGACAGGAAGATTGTGACGTGGTGAGCGGCTTCGTCGAACAACGGAGTAATAATAGGGCCAGACTGAGAGAAAAAATATTATTACTTTTTGGGAAATTTCGGGAATAAAATCATAAAATGACAAGAATAAAGTCGTAACATTACGAGAATAATATTACGAGAATAAAGCCGTAACATTACGAGAATAAAGCCGTAACATTACGAGAATAAAGCCGTAACATTACGAGAATAAAGTCGTAACATTACGAGAATAAAGACGTAACATTACGAGAATAAAGCCGTAACATTACGAGAATAAAGCCGTAACAATACGAGAATAAAGCCGTAACAATACGAGAATAAAGACGTAACATTACGAGAATAAAGTCGTAACATTACGAGAATAAAGACGTAACATTACGAGAATAAAGTCGTAACAATACGAGAATAAAGCCGTAACATTACGAGAATAAAGTCGTAACATTACGAGAATAAAGTCGTAACATTACGAGAATAAAGCCGTAACATTACGAGAATAAAGCCGTAACAATACGAGAATAAAGTCGTAACAATACGAGAATAAAGTCGTAACATTACGAGAATAAAGACGTAACATTACGAGAATAAAGACGTAACATTACGAGAATAAAGTCGTAACAATACGAGAATAAAGTCGTAACATTACGAGAATAAAGCCGTAACATTACGAGAATAAAGTCGTAACAATACGGAATAAAGTAGTAATTTATGAGAACTTTCAGCCTGTTGGCTCAGCCAGTAAAACTGTTTAAAGATGAAATGATCAATACCTCAGTTTACCTGTTGACTGTACGGTACGACTGAGACAAACAGCGGCTGCTGGGCTCAGACTGAGGCTGCTGATTGGTTGAACTGCTCACGTCAGATCTTGAAAACTCTATCGAAGACTTTTTTCTCTTTAAAACGACTTTTCTTCTTGTTTTATTACATTATTCTCGTAATTTCCCCCAAAAAATAAAACATTTTTTTACTCCGTCGTATTGTGGAGAAGTCCGTTCCCCAACATTTACTTTTTACTGTGAAGTCGTTACACTGTAAAATAAAAAATATTTCATTTTTAATAATAGTTCCAATTTATTATAACTTTTATTTTCATATTTTTGACCATTATGTCTTTCACTGTACTCAGTGATCCCAGAGTACATTATTATTATCATTATAATAATATAACAGTTGATCAACAATCATTATAGTCATTAGCAACTGTTATATTATTGTAAATCATCGAGTATATGGTGTAAATGGGCGTTAAGGTTATCGAGTTATCCGATCAATGTTAGCATTTTCACATGCTAGTGTTCGTGTTAGCTTTGGCATGTGCTGTTATGTTAGTATACTGACTGATCTATGCAAATGTTGCTAATGCTAATTGCATAGGCACAACACAGTTGATGCCAACATGTTAAAGCTGCAGTAGATAACTTCTATATACACTATATATATATATATATATATATATACTATATATATATATAGTGTATAGTGTGGCTGTACACATATTTATACTCCACTAAATATAAAAACTCATAACAAGTCTCCAATATGTTGATAGAATATGTATGAACTTTCATTTTGTGTACAAAAGCGGTACTGTTTCCACCGCCTCCTTTCAGTAATTTTAAGGGGAAACCAGAGTCAGCTAATGGATCCACTACAGCTGCTGGACTGGGGGACGCAGAAATGTACAGCATGAGTATAATTTAAAGGAAATACAGACTATATGTATAAGGACATATACAGACAGTGATAAATATAAATATATACGGGTATAATTGTACAGCACAGTAATAAAACAACGTTAATATCGTCATATAATTTGTATTAATATGAATAAGGGCCTGACTGTGGTAGTGAAGTTAAAGTGTAAAGTGGGATTTGAATTTGAAATACTAAAGTACAAGTAGTTAAAAAGGCTCCCAGGGGTTAGTTATTGTTGTGGTTTGTATGAGTCTCAGATGAGTTCCAGGCTTGTGGTTAGTTTCTGGAGATCCTTGGTGTGGTTCCAGCTGTAAGGACTGTTCAGGGGCTCAGTAGAATAAACCCACAAAATCTTGAGTTGGGCTCTGAGTTCCTTCAAGAGGTCTTTTAAGGTTGTGTGTTTTCCTGGTGGGATTTCAGACTTACTTTACACAGGTTCCACGTTCCCTAAAGCTTTTCCATCTGTTATTGTTGAGTTTGTAAGCATCACCAGGACGTTGTAGAGCAAATCTCAGGGATTCTTGGAGGCATTCCCAGATGTTCTTTAAGGGTTTCCTGGGAATCCTGAAGGGAACCTTGAGGTATATCTGAGATTCCTGAAGGAGCAGGATGTGTCCTTGAGGGATTTCAGTTGGTTTTGAGGCCTTGCAAATATTGTTTATGGTTTCAGAAGTTCAGGAGAAGATTTCAGGGGCCTTCAGAGGATCCAGTTTCAACGTCTTCTGGTGGGATTCCAGAGCTACTTTGTGCAGGTTCCAGGTTCTTGTGGGAGATGAATGTTTTAGATGGAGTAATTAATGTAACCTTACCTGTAAGTGTAAACAGCGCAGGAGGTAACTTGGGTCATTGGTGTCAACATGAGACAGATTTTACACGTATTTTTCACATGTTTCTAACAAATCTCTGTGGTGAATATTTTGTTATTTTCTAACCGAATCAGCATGTGAACAGTTTTATCAGCTGCATGTGACCCACCCGCCGGTGGGAACTTTCTCTTCTTTTAATAAAGTCTTTTATTGTACGTCTGGAAGATAAGGTTCCCAGTTTATAATGTCACACTGTCAGCATGTTTCCAGTACAGTACGTCTTCCAGTGTTACAGACATGTCACAACAAAGCTCAGTACATGGTACCTGATTCTGGTTTACTTGTGGTTTACCAACAAATACGGGCATTGACCCATTTCCTAAAATTCTAACTAGAGTTTTAGTGGGTCTTGGAGGTCCACCAGGGGTCCTTTGGTGAATCTAGATGGGGTTGGTGGGGTTCTTAGAGACTATTTGAGAGGCCTCTGAGGTAATTCTGCTTCAAATGTCCAAAGCCCTTATATATATATAGGTTCAAGGGTCTTTATAGAGTGTTTGACGGGTTTTTGAAGACCTCTAAGGGACTTTGGCCATTAATGGTTGCTCCTCTTCCAGGGTCCCTGATTTAAGATGGGCTGGTGAGTGCTACTAGGTGTTCGACAGGGATCCTGGAGGGTCTTCTGTAGTTTCTTGATGGGATTCAAAGGAAAGCGAGTGACATTTTGGGGTTGTTGATTGTCTTACCAAAGGCTGTAAGGGATTTCTTTTAACAGTTTACAGGAAATTTCTAGCCTCTCTTGAGAATCCCTCGACTTCTTCAGAGGAATATTTTAAGAATCCCAGAGATCTTTGTTTGCAGAGGCCAACATTAAAACAAGGAGATTGCATAATTTAATTAATTTGCTATAAAATTTGCACCGGGAACGAAGAGACAGAAAAGGTTTATGTTTGTGATGATTTTGACTTTTAGATTTCCACATAAAAGACAAACATTAAAAAAGAAAATGATCACCTTCTTCATCAGAAATGTTTACCGGTGTTTGAATGATTTGTGCCACGTTGGAATCTCTTATATCCTGTACTGTGTATTCTTTGTACTTTCATATAATATATTTGTAATTAAGGTGGATGGATCTTCCTCCCGGCTGCAGCTGTGCGAAGTTCGACAAAGATAGATTTAAAAATTAGATTTTGACATCAAAATAAAAGCAATAATTACTAATAATTGTTTATATTATTATTACTACTGCACTGTGCCATACTAATAATAATTATACCTGTAATGTTTAGTTATTAAAATTGTAATATTACTATACTAAAATATAAGGTAAAATATTCCCGCTTGATAGAAATTGTCCACAATGCAATATAAACTCTGAGAAATATGGTATTTTACAGTCGGGGTTTCACAGTACTGTTCCTCTAAATCTACAGCAAGATTCCCCCAAAGCTATATAAAGATTTCAGAGACTGTCTTGGATTGTCTGGATGTTTTAGAGATAAATGTGGTTCAGGACAAACATATGATGATCTTATAGACTGTGATACACTGCTGTAGATTAAACTACCCAACAGTGTATAAAGGAGTTAAAATGAGCTCCACCTCAAACATCTCCAGCAGTAATATTCAGCCAATAACATCAGAGATACTGTAACAGGACAACACTGACAGGTACAAGTACAATCTGCTGATAATACTTACATACTTTCATTTAAGTGAGGTTTTAAATGCAGGACTTGTAGTGGAGTATTTTCACTGTGATATTAGTACTTTTAAAGTATCTGAGTACTTCTTGGGCTGGTATGTGGCAATCAAACTATAAAATGTTGTAATACACACAAAAAGAGGCTCAACTTAATTTAAAAAACCTGTTATTTATTACTCATGTAGTTCTCATTAATCCCTGCCAACAGTAATTAGTTACACTACTCATTATATTACTTCTCTGCTGCTCCCCATAAAACTGATAAACTCAGACTTATTGTTTGTTATAATCAAAGTAAGGGAATATTTTTAGCTGCTGAATGTTTCAAACTAGTTTCCTCTACGATTATTAACATGAATCAATCAAACAAGGATGTGATTGGATGGTTTCAGATCAGTAGGAGGAGAAAATAAAAGTAAGGTTGTAAAAAAAGAAGAAAGGTTATTTTTTGAGGGTTAACTGTAATATTATTACTGTAATATAATAATAATAATAATCTTATTTATATAGCACCTTTTAAAAGTTTACAGACAAAATTATAAATATAAAAATACAGAAAATCAAATTACAATAAGAGCAGAGTGGAAGCCTTCAAAATAAAATGAAAATAAAAACAATAAGAAATGAAATAAAATAGATATATCACATAAAGGGAAGTCTATAAAAATGGGTTTTATGAAGTTTCTGTCCAACAATGAAAAATAATAAAAGCTGAGCTAAATTCCCAACCAGCTTTTATTCTGAAAACCGGAAACAGGGCGTGTTGCTGTGATGTAACTGACGGCAGCTTCATCATAAAGCGCGATCAGCTGATGGGAACTGACTCACCACTTCCCGGACAACATGTAGGACCACATCGAGCCGAGAACACAGAGAACTGGATTTTACTCTCCGGACTCAGATTCTGCTGAGGTGGATCGGTCCGAGCCGCCTGGATCCGGATTCAGGTACCGATCACATGTATCGATCAGAGGGCGGGCAGTAAAACAAAACAAACACAGAAGTTTCATCAAAGTTTCACCAGGATCACATGTGCTGGTGATTCCCTCCTCTGTCACAGGTTAAACAGAAGAGTTTATTTCATATTTTATTTTGAAATGTGCTTATTTTTAATATGTTAACACAGATTAAAGTTTAATCTACAGGCCTGTTGCCATGGAGACTGTGAACATGTACTAATGGGACATATTGAAGAAGATCAGTGTTTAATATGTCTTTATTGTGTCTTCATACAGGAGAACATATAGAATATATTATAATACAGATAAAATATCAGGTATTCAGAGTCCGGAGGGTTACTTTAAAAATGTAATCTGATTACTTGTTGTCATAACCCAATATAAGAAACGTTATTAAAGTAACTTACAGCATTGTCTGGGTGAATCCTCGCTTCTGATTGGCTGGAGGAGTCCAGGTATTAGTCAGGTGTTACCAGGGAAACAGAGTTATAGCTTGTAAATTACAAAACTCTTTAAAATATAAAATAATGATCTTTTTTAAAGTATTTTATGACCAACAGACCAC